TGCAGAGTCACTGTGGAAAGATTATGAGTCGTTCATGGTGGGCTGCACAGTGAGGCTGTGGGAAGGGGATAGGGACTCTGTCTCCTGGAGGCTCAGAAGAGTGAAAGATGAAGTTCCAGATGCCATCACATGGCCCTTCTGCACAGCATACAGTGCTCAGGAACACAGGCACTTGTCCACTGGCTGGGACAGAAGAGGTGCATCTGGGCTTGTGGCTGACTCCCTCTCTGCCCACTAGCTTCCCACCTCCCTCCTAGGATCCTGACCTATCTGCCTGGGCGTGGGGAAGCAGACTGGGGAGAGGTTGTACCAGTGGAGCCAGCTTTGGGGAGCGGGGCTCTGGACTTCCTGACCTTCCAGGGATGTGTCCCCAGGCCCCAGGTCTCCCTGCTTGCCACCCCATCCTGGCTATGCTCTGCAGCCACATGGCTCACACTGTTACCGCTGCTGACCAGTGACGAGTCCTTGCTTCCCCAGTGTTGAAGAATAACACCAGAGAAGCACGCCGAGGCCAGGTCAGAGTGGAAAGTAGAAGTTTATTAAAGGACAGCAGAAAAGACTTCTCCCGGAGGAAGAAGGGGACACAAGAGATGGAATCCATGGAAGTGCGGTTGTTTCCCCTTTTTATAGTTCTTTCAGTGATGGCATGTAGGTGGGAAGGCCCAGGGGTGGGACACAGGTGGGCCAAAGAAGTAATCTGGGCAGGAAGGACTTCTGAGTCAGCATCTTCAAGTTTGCTGGGGGCTGTTCATTAACACTTCTTTGGGATGGGCTCTGGCCTTGGGCTTCTCCCGAACTTCATTAACATTCCAAGAGTTGTTCAACTTTTCCCGGAATTCATTCTCAACATGGCCTCCATTTTAGATCTCACTCGATATTAGACCCGATTTACCTAACTACACTGACTACCTAACTTTAAATCTGGCTTCATTACCCTGCCAAGTGAGTGGACACACCCATCCCACCCCCCCAGCCCCCCACCCCCATTGGCAGATCTTGAGCAAGAATTACCTCAGGGAAGCAGTCCAGGGGCTCCTATCTTGGAGGCAACTCCCCAGGGCAGCTCAGGGGCACTGGAGGGCTTGCCAAGCTGCTGTCAGACCCAGTCCACCATAGGCCCTGGACAGGGCATGAGAGTTGTCCCATACCCACTGCCCAGTCCTTAAAATCCAAGACTGAGCACTCTTGGGACCTCTGCATCAGGAGAACCAGAGAAGTAGACTTGAGGGCCATGACTCCCGGTGCCCCCACCTCCTGCCCAGGGACTCAGGGCCCACCTGCCAGGGTTTCTCAGCTAGGTCCCTCTAGTTGGTTCATTTCTCTTCCAGAAAGCCCTGGCAAAGATAAAGAGATTTGAGTTTTATGAAAAAGGCCTCTGCCGTTGTTGCAACTGGGTAAGTTCTAGTTGGCCCAGGTGTGCCCCTGTTCATGCTCCTGAGGAGACCCCTACCCCTATCCCTGCTTAGCTCATGTCCAGTTGAGACTTGAGGTCACCCAAAGGGGGCATTTGGGTGGACAGGGTCCCTGTTTGCCCAAGGCTGCTGGTGTCTGGACCTACAGTTCAGAGGATGGAAGCAAATGGGATCCATTCTGTGTCTTGAGTTCAGACCCTGGCTCATGGGATCCTAGCCTCTGCTCCTGCCCCAGCTTAGCTTGGCTCCTCCTGCAGGGAGGTGGCATCCTCATCCTCAAGAAAGGGACACCCATCCTCAGCTCGAAGTGGTAAGCCTGGTGAAGACCACTCCACGGACAGAAGAGTGGATGATGCCCTGAGCCCAGCCAACAGCCCTTCCCAGGGCAGAGCCAGACCAGGCCCCAGCCAGGGGATCAAGGGTCTGGCAGGTCTGGGGGGTTCCGATGACCAGAATTCCCCTGATTTATGAAAATGATGGGGAAATGCAGTCAGTGTCAGCCTTCAGCATAAAGACTCTGTTCTTTCTCATTGGCTTATCCCTGAGCTCAAGGCAGCTACTGGATCCCCAAAGAACAGGCCCCTGCCCACCCTTGATGCATACTCAGCTGTGAAGTGGGAAATGAGGTCTGGGGCTGGGGGCTGGGCAGAGGGCCAGCAGGAGGATGGAGGTGGGTTCAGTGGCTGCTGGGTGACTTGAGTCGGGTGGAGGCTTCTGCACCAACCCCAAGCTGCAGACACAGGTGGTTCTTGACCAGGACCCCTTGCTCACCCCTAAGCAGGAGGACAAGTGTCAGGGCTGGCCTGGACACTTTGCAGGGAAGATGGCCAAAAGTAATCATGTCAGATGCCAGTGAGAGTGGTATAGAGTAGAGAGGCCTGGTGTTATGGTTTTGATGTAAGGTACCCTCCAAAAGCTCACGTGTGAGACAATGGAAGAAGGTTCAGAGAAGAAGTGACCGGATTATGAGAGTCTTTTTTGTTTGTTTGTTTTGTTTTGTTTTTTGAGAGAGAAAGAGAGAGAGAGAGAATTTTATTTTTTATTTTTTAAGTTTTCGGCGGACAGAACCTCTTTGTTTGTATGTGGTGCTGAGGATCGAACCCGGGCCACACACATGCCAGGCGAGCATGCTACCGCTTGAGCCACATCCCCAGCCGGATTATGAGAGTCTTAACATAATAAGTGAATTAATACCTGATGGTATTAATTGAGTGGAAACTGAGGCAGGTAGTGTGTGACTGGAGGAGGGGGCATTGGGGCATGGCTTTGGGGTATATATTTGTAACAGGTGAGTGGAGTCTCTCTGCTTCCCTCTACCATTCTTCTGCCATGATGTTCTGCCTCACCTCGATCCCTGAGGAATGGAGTTTGCTGTCTAAGCACTGAGACCTCTGAAACCATGAGCCCCCAAATAAACTTTTTCTCCCCTACAATTGGTTGGGTCCCCTTAGTCACAGCAGTGGAAAAAGCTGACTAAAACAGATTACAAGCAATGCCCCCTACCGGACCCCTATTCATCGGTAGCTGTGCTAGTTCACATTCCCACCACGAGGGGGCATCCAGCTCCATTTCCTGGGTGCTCATTGTGGCCTGACTTTGTTCCATCCTGTTGAACAAATGAATTCTGTATCCCTTAGGTTCTAATTTGCATTCCCCAACAGTTACTGGTGTGGAGCATCTTTTCTGGGTCTGTTTCTCATGTCCGGATTGTCTTGGCTGATGCCAATACTCAACTCTCGTGTCCGATTTTCACTAACATTAGACTTAAGTCTGGGTCCATTCTCTTCTGGGGAGTACCTATGCCCACCAGCTGTCTGTTGGGCCCAGCTAAACTTCAGATGCACATGAGAGCAGAGGCCACCCTGCCACAAGTCCACTCAGTGGAGCTGTTGAACCAGGATGTGGCTCCCAGGCTGGGGATCAGCTCAGGTGTGTGAGGATGAGTGAAGGGCACCGCTGGCTGAGGCCAGATCCCCTGTGCAGCACCTCTGGTCACATTCCATAGGCAGTGTCCCAGGCCCCCACTAGGCCTCTGCACTCAGTGAAGCCCAAGCGGTGCCTCCTAGACCTCCTAGAATTCAGCCCTCCACCACTTCCTCTGTTCTCCAGATGTGTTGACCAGCCACATCTGGAGAACAGAGGAAAGTGACCTAAGATGAGCACCACCCAAGGAGCCACACCTGATTGGGGTGGTTAACCTTCCCCGCAGGCTCTAAAATTGCAGGATTGAGCTGGCCAGTTGCTTCCTTCTGCCTACCTGGCTTGCCCACCATGACAGCACAATCCTGGGTCTCCTGGTCACACTCAGGAGTTTAAAGAAGTGTCCACTGGGGGTCCTGGCTCAGGCAAGACCACAGAGAGACTTAGCCACAAACACCACCCTAGGCCAGTGGCAGCCTTTGAGCCTGACAGCCCCAGTAACCCATGAGACCCAGGGAGGGTGAAGGGGTAAACATGGGGAGACCAAACCTTAGGGCCACTGACTACCTGTGCCTGGCATGGGTTAGCCTGGGGCCTTGAGCCCTCACATACCCCAGGAACTCTGCCCACCTGAGACTTGGGCAGGATTTTGGAGCCTCTGTGCATGCTGTTCTGCCAGGAGTGGTCCAGGAAGAGGGACATGCGGATTCAGAGTGCCCTACTGAGTGGGTATCAGGATAACAGGGAAGGTGCGCCAAGGCGAAGCAGGACCTGCTCGGCCCTATCAGGCAAGACCCTGAAGCGCACTCACTGTTCCACCATGGCCAGCTCATCCGCAATGTGGGGAGGCTGGCTCCTGCTCACAGGGTTTGAGGCCAAGGCGTGGGCATGAGCCCTCAGGGCTACCATTTGTATTCTCAAGGGAGTAGAGACATGCGAGGAGACAAAGAACTTGAGGGCACATGAGGTCACCTGGACAAACTACTGCAGTGTGTGCAGGATGGGCACCCAGGACTGAGAGCTGCCTCAGTTCCATCTTAGCTGCTAGAGCCAGCAAGAATGTGACTTGGGACTTGGCCCTGGTCCTTCCCTCTCCCTGCAGGGCAGGGTCGCCAGACCACAGTGCGTCCACTGTATGAGAATCCAAGTGGCCTGTGTCCGTGCCAAGCATTGGTCTGTTGATCAAGGACCTGAGGAGGACTGGCCCCCAAGATACAGCTAGGCATGTGCCCAGAAAATCTGGTCAGAAAGTGTGTCCTGGCCTGTGTCCTGCTCCACTCACCTGAGCCCCTGTATGCTTGTGTACCTGTGCACCTGAGTGCCCACTGATGCCATCTTCTTGCTCCCCAGTCCTCTCCTTTCTGACCCCTTCTGTGGAGAGCTCAGATTAAACTCCATTTTTCTGCTGAGGCTGGTCCAGTGCTCCCCTCTGGTTCCCACCACTCACTACCGTCATACCCCTCACCCCATCCACACATGCACGGGGTGAGCCTGGGGGACCAGAGTAGTCAGAGCCAGGGTCAGCTGGCCCTTGTGCAGCCTGGAAGGCTCTTGATGTGCCACAGAAGGGGCAGACACAGCTCACTCCTCCTGGAAGGAACAGGCCCACCCTCGTCACTGGTCTAAGGACACGTGTGGCCTTCCACCTCTGTTTGCAGGCATTTATTTTTCTAGCTGGGAAGGATTAGCAGAGGCAGCAGGTGGACTTCAGGCAGAGGTGGGAGAGCAGTCAGGGTTCCCTGGAGTCCTCCATAGGGTGGTGGATGTGGTCTAGGTCTTCCTCTGGTCCCTCGAGCACCTGGCGAGGCAGCAGCACTGGGGACCAGGGCCTTTCTTTGCCCTGGACCTCCTCCACTGGAGGGTGGTACAGACTATCAAGATCCAGCTCAGGACCCTGCTGTGGGATCCGAAAACGGCCCAGGATGTCCTCAGTCTGCACCCATGCTTTGGGGCCTAGAGACAGATAAATGGAGGTATAGCCTCAGTTCCTATCTCAAGGCCCTCCCTCCACTGGCCTGTCCACTGGCAAGTTCTCCAGCTTATCCCTTTGGGGTCCCCCTGTGTGGTCTTGGCCCCAGATTACCTGGGTGCTTCTCCTCGGAGGCTGCAAGCTTCAGCTTCGGCATTGGGGGCAGCCCCACCAACTGACCATCCTTCTTCAGAGGCTCTACAGCTTGGATGCCCCAGGCCCTGCCCACAAGCTAAGTCAGTCCACATGCAGGTAGCCAGCCCACCAAAGAGAGTGCTCACCAGCCCCAAGATGCTGGTCAACCCTCTCATTGGGTCCTCAAGGGCCAGGGAGGTGAGAAGCCATCCTGTTCCAAGACTGAGCCAGCCTGGGGCCAGTGGGTAGGGGAGCTGGCCAGAGCCCCCAGGGTCCCCTGCTCCTGGCACAGGGCTTGTGGCTGATGGATGGATACCTTTTGGCCCTGAGAACTGCCTGCCATGGAGAACTACAGGACAGGATTCCTCTCAACCCACCATGTGCACCCCGGGTCCAACAGGTCTGGGCTTCAGGGGTGAGTGCGGTAGGGCTTCTGGGGACACTTACCTCTCCACGTCCTGCTCATGTTTGCCTTTGGTCCTGATAGGGACCTGAGAGAGTGAGTCACAGGTGTGAGCACTGCTATTCAGGGGGCTGGGTTGAAGGACACATGGTGCAGAGGCTGCTCCAAGGTCCACCTGGGGCTACAGGAAAGGCCGGCCAGCTCAACACCCTCTGTGAGGGTCTCTGGGGACTAAAGGCCAGAACACGGCCACCTTGGATATCAGGGTTATGGGCAAGGGAAGTGAAGTCACCAGCCTGTCCCCAAATGACCAGCCCACCTAGACTGGCCAGCTTCCCTGTCCCCAAATGACCCCGCAGGGATGTGAACCTCACCCTGGCTCAGCATTCCCACTCACCCACTGGCGATTTTCTGCAAAGGCAAGTTAGGGCTTGTCCTACACCCCACTCCCTGGCTGGTTGTGGGGGCAGCCCCCTGAGTCCAGCACCCAGTGGGGCAAAGTGGGGACAGAAGAGCAAAGCAAAGGGGAACCCAGGGGAGCTGGGCCAAAGCAGCTGTGGAGTGGCTAGGAAGGGCGGGCCTCTCTTATCCTGATTGCTCTGGGATACAAGCTGAGTGGCCTTGACCCAGGGCAGGCCTATGACTTCCAGCCCAGGCCACCATGTTATCAGCACGAACAGTACAGCTTGGCCCCCACCCAGGTGAGCATCAAAGGGGCCCGCCTCTTGGGGGGTCTTCCTAGGTGCCATGGAGGTTCACGTCCCCAGCTGGAGACACTGGGTGTCATGGAGGATGGCCTGTCATACCCCAGTGGAAGGTGCCTGACCCTCTGCATCCTGAGGCCCTACCTCAGTGCCCATGGGCTTGGGGGGGGCCTTTGCCAACATCCTTGTTGGTAGGGGCAGGCATGTGTACCTGGGGTGCTGGGTTTGCAAGGACCTCCTGCAGCAGCACAGTCACCAGGCAGGTGACCAGGAAGAGCCTGGGGGCCAGGGAGAAAGTGTGAGGCAGAGGACTGCACCTGCCCACCAGGAAGCCCTCAGCCCACCCTGGCAGGACCCTACTGAGCAGCTAATGAGGCTGATGGTTTCTGCCTTCAGGAGGACTGGCTGGAGTCCTGGAGTGGTCCACAAGTAAGTAGGGTCCCATCTCACAGAGAAGGGCTTGAGAAGTCAGGCACTAGGCTTGCCCTGGGCCAGGGCTGCCACCCCTGGATGCAACCAGTGGGGCAGAGGGGCAGTACTGAGAACTTCAGAGGGACCCTGCACACACACGCGCACACACACATACGCACACACACACATCGGGAGTGAGAGGAGCATCGAAAGCTCCCAGTACCCATGAGAAGATGCAGAGACCCCAGCACACAGCCACAGCCCTGCAGCTGTGCCACTGGGCAGACAGCCCCCTAGCCCCAGGCAGGAAGGACAGCTTATGGTGTGGGCAGTGTGCATGGTGTGGGGTTTGCATGAGTGCAGTTTGCATGTGAAGTGTGTTTGTGTGTTGTGTGGTGGATGTGAATTGCAGCCTCCCAGACACCTTTGCTCTCCTTCCCAGGGTGACTCAGCACTTTAGGGTGGGGACCTGGCCTGGTGGGTTCAGCTGCCCTGCCTACTCCTAAGGACCCCCCACACACACACACAGAGGCCCATTCCTATGCTGAGTGTGGGAGGAACATGCACCTGTCCTCAGCACCAGATCGCTGCATGCTGACCCTGGCCCTGCGGCCTGCCTCCCTGAGCTCAAGCTACCTCTGGTCTTCTCGAACCCCATCCCTTCTTTTGGGCCTTTACAGCCTAATGTCACCCTTCCTTCCAAGGGGCCTGTGGTGATTTTCCACAGGGTCGGGGCCGCAGGGGACAAGGCACTCTTGTAAACATCTGGGGGCATCGGGTCTGCCCTCAGAGGCAGACCCTGAGTACACACACCAGATGGACAAAGACCAGGGGGCCCTAGGGGAGGGCTGTGCCCATTCCCATCCACCTGGGAAGAGCCAGCCCTCTCAGAACTGCCACCAAACATGGCCCAACCCCACAGTCTGTGGACAGTGACTCCCTCCCTAGCCTCCCTCCCTGGCCTTCCTCAGAGTCAGGCAGTCTCTGAGCTAGGGTTCCAAAACCTGCAGCCACAATGGCCCTGACCACAGGCCCGGCCCTGCCACTGCCAGAGTTGGTGGGCAGAGCAGCTGGGGCTCAGGGGCAGCATCACCTCCTCATGCCGGGCCTCCTTCTCAGTGTAGAGTGCTCTGAGGAGCCGCAGTCACAGATCCACATGTCCAGGCACCTCCTTGTCCCTCCCCACACAGGCAGCTCGGGCTTTATTGCCTGTGTCTTCCTCAGCCTGGGCGTGTCTGGCCAGAGGTCAGGGTCCCACAATCTCACTGCCCCAGGGGCTGGGCCCATGGCTGCCCAGCCCCACCCCAACCTGGAACCAAGGTGTCCCCAAGGAAATGACTCCCTGAGAAACCTCCAGGTCACCCACCTGGCCCACCCCCACTGCCTGGCCTGCTAGACCACCCTTGCCATCCCACACAGTGCCCTCATCCCCCACACTCACTCTTCTCTCCTTGGGACACACCAGGAAGTTGTCCTGCATGGGCAGGCCTTGGCCTTGTGACCCGGAGGAGAGGGTACTGGCCAGAAGCATGGACCCCAAGCTGGACTGAAACTCCTGACAGAGTGTGGCTGGATGGAGCTTTCAACCTGAGGATTGTCCCAGCCCTGCCCTCAAATTGCCCCTGTCCAGCCTGCCAGGGCAGCGTTGGGGCAGTGTGGCCATGGGGTTGAGCTGCCAGCCCTCCCATAACTGAGTTTTCCCAAAACCAGGACTGGGATTTTGACAGGATGGAGTGAGGATCACAAAACAATTTTAGAATCTGAAACTTTAACGTGAACAATTGGGAAATGGCCGCTGCAAGAAGTGATGCACCTTGGGCAAGAGTGAAAAGCGCCTTGGGCCACCCAGCACCAGCCAGCCGGTAGCAAAGGCCCACAGGCAGCGGCTCAAGAGCTAGAGTCCTCCCAGTGGACAAGCAATGACTGCAGGTCAGCTGGAGCCTTAACAAGGAGACCCAGCCCGAGGCAACCCACTGGGCCTGGGACCCCCACACTGGGGTAACCGCAAGATGAGGCTCAGCCCTCCCCATCTCTCTGGCCTCTCCCCCTACCTCCAACTGCAGCAAGCCCTGCACACTTGCTCAAAGAAGGCCAGAGACTTGGAAGGAGAGCCCCAGTGCCACCTAGACACAGCATGCCCAGCCACAGGGACAGCCCAGGGTGGAGACTTGTGGGCCTTCAACCAGCCCACACAGGGCAGCACAAGGGGCCAGGCTGAGGAAGACACATGGGGACACAGCGCCACATGCCACGAGGTTCAGTCCAGGGAGGTGACTAATCCCACAAGCAAGAGAGCAACAGGCCAGGTGTCAGGTTTCAAGGCTGAAACATATTATCTCAAACATCTAGTTTTTTAAATTAATAGACTTCATTTTTTGCACAGTTTTAGGTTTAGTGAGAAGGTGAGCAGAAGGTGCGAGCTCCGTGTGCCCCCTGCCTCTCACCCATTTCCCCCATCACACCCTGCAGCAGTGTGGCCTGTGACCTGCGACGAGCAGCCGGTTAAGGCACCTGCTTTCAACCCAAGGCAAAGGAACAGGAAAAGCATGGCCAGTATTTAGGGGAAAGCTAGTTCTAGAAACTTCCTCTGAGTGAATGTAGGTGTTAGGCTTCACAAATAAAAAGCAATGGAGCTGGGCAAGGTGGCACACGCCCGTAATCCCAGCAGTTCGGGAGTCTGAGACACGAGGATCCCAAGTTCAAAGCCAGCAATGGTGAGGTGCTGAGCAATTCAGTGAGACCCTGTCTGTAAATAAAACACAAAATGGGCTGGGGATGTGGCTCAGTGGCCAAGTGCCCCTGAGTTCTATCTCTGGTACAACTCCTCCCCCCCCAAAAAAAATGGTAATGGAAACCGTGTTTAGAGAACTAAAGAAAAGTGTGATGAAATGTCTTAAATAATCTCAATAAGCAGTTCACTGAAAGAACAAATTTGGCAACACAGGCCTGCAGTCCCAGCCACCCCAGAGGCCCAGAGGGAGGTTGCCTGAGCCAGGAGCCTGAGACAGCCTGGGCAGCACAGGGAGACCCTGCCTCCTAAAAAATAAAAGAAAAACAAAAAGCACCAAATGAGAATTTGAACTGTTGAAACCCCAACACAAGGAGAAAATCTTGAGACCAGCAAGAGAGAAATACTCAATACAGAGCACAGACAGCACATTAATTAGTGGCTGACTTCTAATGGAATCATCAAAAAGGAGCACCAACACTCTGCCATCTACAACGGGAACAAGGACACTCCTTCCATGAAGCAGGGACACCCAGCTACCAAAGCCACCAAAGACATCATGAGAAAAGAACACTACAGACCACTCTTGAACACAGACACAAAAACCACTGATACAACATTAGCTTGATTCAGCAACACACAAAAAGAAATTATTTGCACTATTCCAGGAATGCAAAGTTGGCCCAATATTTAAAAATCAATGTATTTATTACACTATGAAGGAGAAAGAGCTCATGTCATCCTAAAAAGTATCTGACAAAATCCAATACCTGTTTATGGTAAAAACTTTTTTAAAACTAGGACTAGTCAGGAATGGTGGCACACACCTGTCATCCCAGTGTTTTGAGAGGCTGAGGCTGGAGGATCAAAATCAAATTTGAGTCTAGCCTCAGCAATTTAATGAAATCTTCAGCAACTTAGATCCTACCTCAGAATAAAACATCAAAAGATCTAGGTATGAGCTCAGTGGTAATGTGCTCCTGGGTTCAATCCCCACTACCAAAAACAAACCAAAAACACTAGAGCCAGGCCCTGGGTTCAGTCCCAGAAGGGAACTCCCTAACCCTGGTAAAGGAGCACCTACAAGAAATCTGTGGCAAACACCGTATCTAGTGATGAGACACTGCCATCCGTCCCCTTAAGACAGGAACAAGACAAAGGTGCCCACTCTCTCTGCCTCCATCCTACACTGTGCTGTTCCAGTGGATGGATGGACCCCAAGGGCATTATGCTGGACAGGAAGAACGCTGCCCAGCTCACTCACATATGGAGTCCAAAAATGTCGAACTCAGAAGCAAAGGGTTAGGGCTGGTTGCCAGTGTGGTGGAGCCAGGAAATGGGATGTCACAGGACACAGACTGCAAGCAGTGAGATGATCAGGTTGTAGGGATGGTACACAGCAAGAGTGTGTGTTAATAAGCTTGACTGTAGTGACCATCACACAGGTATGTTTATCAGCTCGTCTCCTCCCAACCCCTCCACAAGTAATCGTAAAACAAAGAAAGGGTGTGTGCAGCATACAGAGAGAACTCTCACGACTTGATAATAAGATGAACTGCCTGACTGAAAAGTGCTCAGAACATCTGAAGGGACATTCCACCAAAGGTCTGCAAATGGCTAGTAGGCCCTGAGAAGATGCTCAGCACTGTTAGTCACCAGGGTAACTAAGATGCAAACCACTGCCAGCCCACTGTGCACCTGCCTGGGTGGTACCAAGTTCTCCCCTCAAGTCCTGTGTTGCAGTTCTAAGCCTTCAGAGTACAGCTGCACTTGGGGTTAGGGTCCCTAAGGAGGCAACAAGCTAAAATAAGGTTGTTAGGGAGGCCCCTAATCCCACAAGACTGGAGTCCTGATAAGAAAAGATTAGGGCACAGACACAGGGCCAACCATGAGAAGACCAGGGAGAAGACTCCCTTTCCATGTCAGGAACAACCAGCCCTGCTCACACCTTCATCTCAGACCTCATCTCCATAACAGTGAAAAAATGAGGTCTGTTGTTTAAATCACCCATCTGCAGCAATTTTTTGGCAGCCAGAGGTGGCTAATTCAGATGGATACCATGAAAAAGACAATAGCAGATGTTGGTGAGAGCCCCATACTACTGGGATGTAAAGCTACTGCCAAGGAAACACGTTTGCATTCCCTTAAAAGCTAAATGTACACTTAATATTCAAATATTCAGCAGTTTCTCTCTGCATCATCTACTTGAGAGAATGAAGCACATGTCTACCAAAGACTTGAACAGTAGTGTTCAACGACATCAAAAACATGGTGCCCAAATGGAACAGGATTCTCACCAAGGACATGGGAGTGAGCACAGAGCATGTGCCAGCACTGTGCTTGGAGCCCTGCATGAATCATGGTACACACACCCTCAGCCAAGCACTGTGGAGCACCTTCTGCATGCTGGGCATCCTACAGACAGTCGTCACCTCGGTGACTGGGAAAGCCAAGGCTGCCCTGGGAAAGCGTACAGCCCAAGGAGTCAGAAGCTGACAGAGCAGAAGGCCATCCTCTGGGGCTGGGGTTGTCTCTCAGCGGTAGAGCGCTCGCCTAGCATGTGCGAGGCCCTGGTTCGATCCGCAGCACCACATAAAACTAAATAAATAAAGATATTGTGTCCAACTAAAAAATAAATATTAAAAAAAAGAAGGCCATCCTCTGGGTGAGTGGGGGCCAAACCCAAGGGATAGGAGGCAGGGGAGGGGACAGGCAGTCTGTGCCATCAAGGTCTGCCTGGTGGAGGAGCAGCCTGGGCTGGGCTGGTCCCAGTATCTGCCCCCTGCCCTAAGGGGGTGTTTACGTGTGGATTTGGGTGGTGTTGGTCTGAGATGTGTTGGGTTCCTAGGAGGTGTGTGTGTGTGTGTGTGTGTGTGTGTCTGGTGTTGAGGCATGTGAGATGTGTCTATGCTGTGTATTACATGTGTTACATGTGTGAGTGTGAGGTGTGTGTCAGGTGCTTGCCTGTGAAGGTAGGGGCTCCCGGACAATGTCTGATGTGGGAGGGGGTGTGTGCGGCCACAGTAGCAGCGGTCCCTCCTCCAGCCTGGTTACCACGGCAACCACAGCCTCGGTCTCGCGGCTCCAGCCCCTTGCCCGCCCCGCCCCCGGCTGCGAAGCGTCTGGAACTGCATCCTCCGCATCCACATCCGCATCCTCACCCTCCCGCGACCGCGTCCTGCAGCAGCTGGAGTAGGAGCCGTCTGTGAGCCATTTCCAGGTTTCTCCTTGTGGAGTGGGGTGAGGGGCCCGTGTGTGTGTGGGGGGGTGTGCAACGATGTGGCAAGCGCAAGGGTGTGTTGGTGTGTGAAGGAGAGAGTGCGTGTGCAGGGATGTGCTGGGTGTGTGTACGGTGCAAGTGTATGTAGGGGCA